ATTCATACCCTTGCAAACACCTGGTGGATATACAGTGGTATCTCACTGAGGTTTTAAATTGTTTCCCCTTTTCATAGGTTTATGTACTGGTCATTTGTCTACTTATTTAACAAGTTTCTCGCTCCCACTTGCAGTATGAATGTTTCTGTCGCTCCCTCTCTCTGCCTCCTTTTTGCTGATTTGATGAGTAAGAAGCGACATCTTCTTAGGGTTTTAATTTGTCGTCCCCTAATTATTAGTGGGTTGGGCAGCTTTTCATGTGCTTATCGGGCATTTAGATTTCCTTTTCTGAGAATTTCTTGTTCACATTTCTGGGTCTTTGTTCCTATTGGATTATTTTCTTTTTCTTATTAATTCACAGGCGCTCTTAAAAGTTCTGCTTACTAATTCTTTGTTAGGACTTCAGACCCAGAGGTAGATATATAGGACCATTTGATGGTTAATTTTATGTGTCAACGTGACTGGGTCACATGGTGCCCAGACATTATTCTGAGTGAGTCTGTGAGGGTGTTTCTGGGTGAGATTAGTATTTGCATCTGTAGACTGAGTAAAGCAGACTGTCCTCCTTACTGTGGAGGGGCCTCATCCGATCAGGTGAAGACCTGAACAGAACAAAAAGGCTGAGTACGAGGGAACTCCTGCCTGAGTGAGCTGGGACATTTGGTCTTTTCTGGCCTTTGGATTCAGATGAAAACACTGGCTTTGCTTGGGTCTTGAGCCCGCTGGCTTTCAGATTGGAACTTGGACCATCATTACTCTTGGTTTTCAGGCCTTTGGGCTTGGACCGGAACTACACATCAGCTCTTCCGGGTTTCTGTCTTGCTGACTGCAAGATTTTGGGACTTATCAGCCTCCATAATCATGTAGGCCAATTTCTTATTTTACATACATAATATATACACACATAAATAGGATAAAATATATGTAGGGTATTGTATACACATTGCATATATCTCTATCTATACATCCATCCATCCATCCATCTGTATTATCTATCTGTCTGTCTGTCTATCTATCATTGGTCCTGTTTCTCTGGAGAAGCCTGACTAATATATATTATGAACGTCAAAGAACAGATGGCCTCCATTATTTCGTAATCCCCAGTCCAGGGAACAGGCCAGACCAGCCACTCCACGCAAGGGCCCGTCAGAGCTGGGGATTACCTCCTAGATACGATACCCCTCCTCCTCCCTGTCACCCGGTGGCCTCATGCACCTTCTCACCCATCAGGACACCACCTTGGGGAGGGTTAGGGAAAGAAGAGAAGTCAGGAAGACTCAGCTTTCATGAGAATGAAGCCAAGTCAGCTTACCCTAGAGACACTTAAACCAGAAGAAAATATAATAATGTAAATTCACAAATTTAAACTTCCTCCTCCCCCTGTTAGCCAGCAGAGCAGAGGCTCAGGAGAAAGATGACATTTAATAATACAACATAAAGAGCTGTGGAATTTTTTGCACATTTGCGCTGAGGAGTAAACGACAGTCCTTTAACAGTTACATTAAAATAATGTCTTAAGTAACAAATGTTTTAATCACTATTCTATCAGATTATTAAACTTTAACATTTTAAACAGTCTCCCCTTTGCTCAAATGAAGTTTACATCTGCTTTTATGATTTTTAACACCATTTTAACAACCCGCAGAGCTAACTAAATAGTATCTTAAATTAAGATTATTTAAAGTATCTTAATCTATTTTGGAAGGGATTCCTGAGTTAGGAATTCACACTCCACAGAGGGTAGGAAAAAAAGGGAAATTTTAACAAGAAGATGTTCATGTGAATTGTTAAAACTGCACAGTGTGAGCTTACCGTCCTGAATACCCGCTGTCCCGGGCAAACCTCTGAAATGCGCCCATGGGGTCCGAGCCTGTGCTCAGGATAAACACCAGGGGAGTGCTGTACGACATGTCCTGGTACAGAGTGGGCAGGTCCACGGGTGGAGTCTCTATAAAGCATTTCCCAAGATTTTCTATTACAAAGTCTGTAAGAGCGAAAACCACCTGAAAGGTGAAAGGAAAAACATTTAAAAAAAATTGCATGTGGATCCCCTGTACTTGTATCCTGTCTCTCCCCTTCAGCGTCCCCGAGGGCAGTGCACTGGCCTCCTGCATGCGTTCCCTCTTGATTAGATCTGCCTTAGAAGGAGTGCTAGAAGAAAGTCTTCAAGCTGAAACGAATGGATGCTAATTAGTAACATGAAAACATACAGAAATATAAAATATACGGGTTAAAGGTAAGCATATAGTCAAAATCAGAATGACACAGAACTACGGTTTTGTGCTAATCACTTAGTTCTAGTAAAAGGTTAAATGATAAAAGTATTAAAAACAGCTATAGCTAAAATAATTTGTTAATGGGTGCACTATATAAAAAATAAGCTATGACATCAAAAATACAGTGTGTGCGGAGAGACAGGGTAAAAGTTCCTGTGTACAAAGTTAAGTTATCAGCTTAAAATAGACTGTTATATCTACAAAATGTCTCATATAGGCCTCATGTAACCATAAAGCAAAAACTTAACAGTAGATTCACAAAAGGTAAAGGTAATAAATCAAAACGTACACTATGGAAGATCATCAACTCAAAAAGGAAGACAGCAAGAGAGGAAGAAAGGAGCAAGGGACCTGTAAAACCACCAGGAAACAGCTAGTAAGGCGGCACTGGTAAGTCCTTACCTAACAGTAATTACTCTAAATGGAAATGGATTAAATTCTCCAATCAAAAGGCATAGAGTGGTTCACTGGATAAAACAAGAAACAAGGCCTATGGTATGGTGCTCACAAGAGACTTAGTTCAGCTTCAAGGACACATACAGGCTCGAAGTAAAGGAATGGAAAAAGATATTTCATACAAATGGAAACAAAAAGAGAGCAGAGGTAGCTATCCATGTATCAGACAAAGTAGATTTTAAGCAAAAAATTCTAACAAGGGACAAAGAAGGTCATTATATAATAACAAAGGGGTCAATTCATCAGGAGGATGTAACAGTTATAAATATATATGATCAGAGCACCTAAATTCCGAAGTGCACATAGAACATCCTGAAGGACAGATCACAAGTTAGGTCACAAAACAGGTCTTAGCAAATATAAGAAGAATGAAGTCATACCAAGTATGTTCGCCAACCACATGAAACTAGAAACCAGTAACAAGCAGAAAGCTGCAAAGTGCACAGGTACGTGCAGGTGTATTAAAGGCCACCGCCGAGTGGGAGAACGTCTTTTTTCAAATCATGCATCTGTTAAGGAGCTTGTATCTAAAATACGTAAAACGGTCTCAACTCCGTAAGAAACAGACAATTTTAATAAATGGCAAAGGATCTGAATAGACAGTTCTACAAATAGCGAATAAGCACAAGAAAGTCTGATGACCATCATTAGGCAAGGACACTGCAAGAAAATTACAGACCAATATCCCCGATGAACAAAGATGCAAAAATCCTCAATAAAATATTAGCAAACCAAGTTCAGCAGTACATTAAAAGAATCATACATATGATCAAGTGGGATTTATTCCAAGGATGCAAGGATGGTTCAACATTCACAAATCAGTCAGTGATACACATTAACAAAATAAAGGATAAAAAGCACCTCAATAGGTGCATAAAAAGCATTTAATGACAGTCAATAGCCATTTATGATTAAAAACTCCCCAAAAGTGGGAACATACCTCAACAAAATACAGGACATATATGACAGGCCCACAGTTAACATCATATTCAACAGTGAAAAGGTGAAAGCTTTTCCTTTAAGAACAGGAGCAAGACAGCGATGCCCACTCTTACCACTTTAATTCAACATAGTATTAAAAGTCCTAGCCAGAGCAGTTAGGTGGGAAAATAAATAAAACCATCGAATTGGAAAGGAAGAAGTAAAACTGTCACTGTTTGCAGATGACAGTATTATATACAAAAAACTAAAGACTATCAAAAAACTGTTACAACTAATAAATGAATTCAGTGGAAAGCTGCAGGATATAAAATCAAGACAGAAAATCTGTTGTGTTCTTATACACTAATAACAAACTATAAGAAAGAGAAACAAAGAAAACAATCCTATTTACAGTTGCATCAAAAAGAATGAAATACCTAGGAATAAATTTAACCAAGCAGGTGGAAGACCTATATACTGAAAACTGCAAGATGTTAACGACAGAAAATTGAAGAAGAAACAAATAAATGAAAAGATATTCTGTATTCATGGATTGGAAGAAACAATATTGTTAAAAATGCCCACAAAACCCAAAGCAATCTGCACATTCAGCGCAGTCCGTATCAAAACTCCAATGGCATTTTTCAGAGACTAAAACAAATAATTCTAAAAAATTTGTCTGGAACCACAAGAAAACCTCAAAGAGCCAAAGGAATCTTGAGGAAGAACAGAGCTGGAGGCATCACACTCTCTGATCTTAAACTATGTTACAAAGCGGTAATAATCAAACCTGTATGATATTGGCATGAAAACAGACACACAGATGGATGGAACAGAATAAGGAGCCCAGATGTAAACTCAGGCGTATGTGGTCAATTAAATTACATCAGAGGAGGCAAGAACATACAACAGGGAAAGGACGGTTTCTTCAATTAATGGTGCTGGGAAAACCAGACAGTCACATGGAAAAGAATGAAACTCAACCACTACCTTACAACTATATACAAAAATTAACTCAGAATGGATTAAAGACTTGAACATAAGGCCTGAAACCATAAAATTTCTAGAAGAAAACATAGGCATTAAAGTCCTTGACATAGGTCTTGGCGATGGTTTTTTTTAATCTGACCAAAAGCAAAATCAATGAAAGCCAAGATAAGTGTGAGACTACATCGTACTAAAAAGTTTCTGCGTGGCAAAGGAAAGTTATTTAGTATACTAGCCACTTATCTGATGTAAGATTTGCAACTAGAGTAACAGTTGTAGCTGGGAAGCGTGGTGCCCAGTGATAATCCCGCTGCTGGGGGCTCTGAGCTGCCCAGGTTATCACTCTTCCTGAGGCATGATTAATTTGGCTTTTCCTTGAACTTAATGAGCTATCCAAGTATCTTTTATTTTAATAAATCCTTTTTTCCCCCCTTAAACTTATTAGGTTTGCTGTCTGTGGTTGTAACCTAAAGCTCATACGCAGGGACACAGAACCTGGAACAGCATCAACAAAAATTTCCCACAGTCTAGAATTTTCTAGCCTATGTCTTAATCTTTAAAACTCCTTCTCTGGGGCTTCTGCCATTTAGTCATCCTTTCATTTTTGTCGGCATCCAGCCTGGTGGCCACTGTCCCATATTCACTGAAGACTTTCCACCTGCCTGACTCACAGCCTTCCTTTCCATTCATGTCTGTTCCAGTGATTTATCAGCTGTGTCCCAGGCACTGTCTTGTCATCATCTGGGGTGACACAACCCAGGTTCAGGGTCCACAAGGCCATCCAACATCCTACCTCACAGTTTCTTGACCTCTAACTCTAGTGTATGTCACTGCATCACATCCTCGGTCACCCACACCTGTGGCCACCCCCAGGACACTGTCATCACTTGGCACTGCTCATCAGAAATTTTACGCTCAACTTTGATCACAACCTCTCTGCCTCCTTCTAGCTGTGCTACACCTCTAGTTCAACTACATCTTTCAAGGAACTTTCGAGGTCTTTCCTTTCCCTCAGTCTGTAAGCCTTGTCTTAGATCTCTTCCATTTTCCAGAACTATTCCTTCCAGCAGTCTCAATGGCTTTGTGTCTTCTGTTCATCTACTGCAGTTATCTGTAGCCCGGGTCTACCCCTCAGCCTTTCTGTGTTCCTGCAGAGACAGCAGAAAAGCCTACAACGTAGCCTCAGTATCTCCCAACTACACTCCGGCTTTCTCCAGTGAGTTTGTCTCTCATTTCTCATAGGAACACCATTCGTTCACTGATAACTTCTGCTGTGTCGAAACGCTGTACCGCCTTAGTTTCCATGTCACGCCTGTCTGCTGGGGCTCTTCTTGCCCCTCTGCCTGCTCCTCCTCACGCGTGCTTCGTCGTTTCTCGCTGCCCCTTCCAAGGCGGTACTGCTCTGGGTTTCGTCCTTCGCCCACCTGTCCCCTTCTTCTGTTATTCCTCTACCGTTTCAACAAGTCCTGTGGTTTTCCTTTCCAACTCAGTGCTGATGATTCCCAGGTCTGTTTCTAAGCCACATTTATCTCTAGAGTTTTCTACCCAGATATTAATTTGTCCCCAGACGGCTGTCTGTGCTGGTAGCTGGTCGGCACTGCAGACTCAGTGACATCTTTCTCTGACGTGTTTCTCCTTTCACGTTTGCTTGGCTGTTGATACGGCTGTCCCCTTTGGTACCAGGGCAGAAACTGGGAACTACACCTGATGCCTCATCCCCACAGCTCCCTCCATCTCCTTCATCTGCTGTCTCCATCCTAACTCAGGCTGCGATAATTTCTCACATTAACGACTTCAGCTGCCTTCAAACTGATCTTGGTGACTATGGTTTTATTCTCTTCAAACGCTTCCTTCTCATTGCTGCCGAGATCTGAAAGGCCCATCGGCTCCCTGCCAACGGCACTCAGCCGGCCCCTGCCCTCTCTGGCAGGGAACGCAAGCTCCCGAGCGGCACGTACTTGGGAAGGACGACCAGGTTCCCCGCCGGCTCGCCATCATTTTCTATGTAGGACACTGTGTTCTGCTGATAACACAGAGCTCCATTTCTTAGAACCGCCTCCCAAACTTGGCCATTGTTACTGTCTTAAACAATAAACCTAACCAGTTTATGAATCATAGCTGGCTGGTGAGCTTCAGTAGGAATTATGATAAGCACAGTTCTTTAAGTAAAAAGTATCCTACCTTTTCTTCTTTACAACATTTAATAAGAATTAGCTTTTGGAAAGAACTTAATTCTGGATGCCAAGAATTATTGCTTGTGGTCAGCCTTTCCTCTGTCACGAAATGATCATCCTCTGTTTTCGAATAGGCGTCCTGGTCCTGTGGGTTAATATAAGTCTCAAACGATCCTGGAAACATAATTTTAAAATATGGTTTAGTTAGACTTGTTTTGACTTTGCAATTAAATAAATATGGTAGGTAATTTAAAAAATCTCTGCATTTACTATCTGGGTTTTACATCACCACAAATGTAAATGTATTAATCTCCCCCTACCCAACCTAATTAAAAAGTAAAGAATTTAAAATGAGATCAGGAAACAAATTCAAACCACTTACAATATGCAAAGCTAAAACATGACAGAGAAGTTAAAAAATAAAAGGATGCACAGAGGTATAGCCATCAAATGTGAGCAAAAAGAAACCTTCAGTGATAGGAGTAACACCGGCTACATTAAGACTTCAAGGCAAAGACAATTAAATGGGACAAAGTAGGTCAGGTTATATTAATTAAAACACAAATGCCATAGTAAAAACATATT